AGTTTGGACAACACTGCCCTAGAGGTTAAAAGTTGCTGTGCCATGATTGTAGTAAGAATACCATCCAAATGTCCAAAATTAAATTGTGTATTATTTGCTTTTCAGCAAAAAAATTAAAAATAAAAATTATTCTGTTCTATTAATATCCACCTTTTATTCGGGAGTAGGTTGGGTTCAGAAAGAGTTAGTGGCTCAGAGTCACCCATATCGCTTGTGTGGCTGAGAATGTTCCAGTTCTAATCCAACACCTTAGTCAACATACTGTACCCGAGAAGTAGTAAGGAATAGGTAAACCAGGCAAAGATAACAAAGATTGTGACCGGTTCTTTCCTTCTTTTATAACTGCAAGTCATATATTAGTGTTCAAATACTAGCAGATTTATTTCTGTAACACACTAATAATCTTTCCTTTTTTGAAATATAAAGACCTGAATGAATGTAGTCTTGATTCTAGGGACATTTATATTCTAAGATGAGAGGAGAACACATTATGTAAGGCCAGCATTATGAACTATGTTCATGCTAAACCAGATGCCATCTGTCAGTCTGTATTTATTGTTTTAAAGACTAAGCTTCTTTTATCAGAAAGTATCTGTCTTACATCTAAAAGTAAATAGTTTTTGGTATCTCACTCGTTCAGTTTTTGAGACTGTAAGAGAGCCTAGTCTGGGAAAAAGAGGAAAGGTTATAGCACAACTCTTCCTTCAAGCAAGTGCTGAAATAGGACAGCAGTTGATTCTCACCTGCTTTGGTTTTTGGAAAATGAAGAATTAAGCAACTTTCTTGGGACTATTGCTGTGTGTAATGTTGAAGAGGATACGGAACTTGATCATTAGAGAATTGTGTTTAAGAATAATGCTTTGAATTAAAAAGCTGGTGGAATAGGTCCTATTGATTACAAATTTGCTACAAAACTAATAGGCTATAAAATGTTGGGAAGCAAGTAATTACCAACAACATACGACATAATAACATCGTGTTAAAGCTAAGGGTATTTTTTGTTAGGCTACTCAAGCTGAAGCAGAAATGTTATGTGATAAAAAGTATGTCCATATTTTGTACATGTCCCACTTTTTTAAAAAATAAAGCCAGAAGAGAAAAGTTCTTCTATCACATACAAGTAATATTATACAGAAAAGGATTGCCTGGCTTCCTGATTGTAAAATGAATACAGTTCTTGAAGGGCCAAGACTGTTAGGAGGCACTAGTGCATTCAACCAAGAATGAATTCCAGTGGAAACAAATACCATTCTTGATACTAGCTGCCTCTTAGGTTTACTTTATATAGTACTGGGAAGTGAAATCTGTATTTGTGTATGTATTTTACCAAATTATATTCTTAACATCCACATTTCTTGTAGTTCTGATGGAGCAGGACAGCGCAGCAGCTCAACAGTATGTGCGACAAGGCTGTCCAAATTCATTAAGAGCAGAGCTGTGGGCACTGATTCTGAATATTTCTAGCCAGCCAGAGGTAAGTAGGAAAAGTAGATTGGAAGTATGGATGTCTGTTTGCTATATATGTAACAGCTGAGATGTGTATGTTTTGGTTCCAGAACTGAGCATTCTAGCAAAATCATATGGAGGCGTCTTCATTCATTTAACATTTTTGTTCAAACTTCTGACTTTCTAACATTACTTTTCTTTTGCTCTGTGGACTCCTCTTACAGCAACAAATTCTTATGAAGTTGCAGCATATTGACACTTCTAAGGACTGTCTGATACCGTTCCCAACATTTGCGTTTAAAGAACAACCAAGTGCAATTTCCTGCCCTTCTGCAGTGATGCATAGAAAAACATCAGCAGCTCTTCTTCTCAACTCAGGATGAGCTTATAGGGCAAGAGAAAAGCACTTTCCCCATAAATATAGTGTGGGTTAGGGTGGCTCCTCTCAAAAGGCATTCAGTTTAATCCTGTTAGAAAGAATAGCTCCCTTCCTCACAGAATTTTATTCCTTTTGCGAATAATATGCATTGGTGGGCCCCAATCAATAATTCAAAAGCATATTTTAATACACCTTATATTCTTGCGATACACTATGAGCATTTCCCACTGCAAAATGCTGAACTCCAACATTATATTGTTATAAAGTCAGGGTGGATCTTAGGAAAGCTGTAATTCTCCTAGTCTTACCCTGGCAATATTGGTAGTACTAGTCTATTTTCATAGTTATTTAATCCTAAAGTTATTACAACAATGCTGTAAAGTAATGGGAGAACTCAGATGTGCTACTTACCTACAGATTTATTACTGTGATGCTTTAGCCCATAAATCAGTTGTGCAGATATATTTCTGTAAACGATACGGATTCATGGGGTATTTAATTACGCTACATGTCCACACATGCCTAACTTAATAATTTGCAGTACACTAAATCTTAAACTGGAAAAATAACTAGGCCCTATTTAGTTCTCAAACTGTCTTTAAATCCTGATTTAGAAACTAAAGATAATTTATGTAGGGAACTATATAAGTGATGATTTCCAAGTTTGTCTGAAAAATAGTTCTGCAAACTTTGGGATTTTAAAAATGAACTATGGGATGTTTTGAAGCCAGAACTTTTCCTTTTAGGACTGACAGATACACGGAAAAGAGTCATGGAAGATGATTTCAATATATGATTACTGTGGCAAGACTATTATATGCCGAAAGATAGAGACATTTGGCATTACCCACCATGGAGGAATGGTTGGTGAAATTGACAGAACTTGTTGCAATGGCCAAACTGACTGGTTTGATTAGAGAAAGGACTGGAAATCCCTTATGGACTCTTTCCATAAAAAAGAAAATGATTTTGTGACTTATGGTTTTGATGATTAGAAAGAATAGGTTATAAAAAGAACGGAATTATGATGTAATCTTACAGAGGTTTGATTGTAACTGTATGTATAACTGCCAAGACGAAGATTGGAAGCCATTTCTTTATATTTCTTTTCATGTTTTCTGTTCTTCTATTTTCTCTTTCTTTTTTTCTATCTCCTTTTTTCTTTGTCTCTTTCTCCCCTCCCCTCCCCCTTCTCCTTCCCCTTTCACATTTACTATATCTTTTTCTTTGAATGTACTTCTTATTATATAAGTAAAATCTTTTAATAAAAACTATTCTAAAAAAAAGGAACTGTAAGGAACTATAGAATGTTAGCTTGAAGTTCAAGAAAAATCTCTGCTAGAACTGCCCTCAAACTGTTCACAATTGCAAAACACAGCCCACAGATTGATGCAAATGCTGCAGAGCTTAAGTGAAAATAGAGTAGTTGACACTGATCTGCATGGGAACTGATGTGATGTGATGCATCAGTTATGACACTGATCTGCATGGGAGAGTTTCCATAAGGAATCCTGTTCTCTGGTCTTATGACAGAAGTCATCATCTAAAGTACAGAATGAAAATCTTGGTAGCCTGAAACATTTTGGGACAAAATGCGTTGGATTGATAAAACAAAAATTGAACTGTTTGGCCATAACTGCTCAAGATACATTTGGAAGGGAAAGAAAGGGGTGAAGCATGTGAAAAAGAACACATTATTAAGCATGGGAGTGGCTTCAAGATTATTTTGGGTTGTGTGGCAGCCAGTGGCCCAAGAAGTATTTAGTGAGTAGAAGGTAGTATACATTCAAATAAATATCAGTGTGTCCTAGAAACATTTGTCCTACTGTTGCTGAAGCTGTTGAACAGGAAATAATATTGAATAATCTAAAGATACCTCCAAATCAATTGTGATTACTCATTTAAAAAAAAAAAGATTTTGGAATGGTCTCATAGACCCTAGTTATGAATGCAGTTGGGCATCTGTGGAGAAATATTAGACATGCAGTGTGTACAAGTAGACAATAATATTTCTGAAGTAGAAGTCTTCTGCAAGGAATGGTGGGGAAAATATTCCCAAAACAAAACTAACCAGTTTCTTAGCTGGTCACAGGAAATGTTTCAGAGCTGTTATTTGTGCCAAAGTAGGTATTGACTGAAAGAGCATCCAAACTTTAGCTACCTGCCATATTCACTGTTTCTTACTTTGAATCTGTTAACATAAATATGCATTCACATTGGCCGAAAAATGTGCTTAACTTTGTGCCATGTGCTTCTCTTTGCTTAGGGATTCGTTGAAACATACAGACTTGACCAGGGGCAATTAGACTTTAGCATGCAGTGTTGGTGCCACCATTTCACATGTTTGCTGGCCATTACAGGGATTAGGTTCACACAGATGATGTGAAGCCATGACTTGTTTTAACATGATTTATTTAATTATCTATGGCAGCTGTTTTCAGGTAGAATTCACATCCCAAAGTCTGTTTACAGACCACTGTGGCTTGCCTTGCACGTCATCCAAAGCCATATCTAGTGCTGTTGATCTGAGCTTCATTTTCTTTATTGATCCATGCCATTTTCACTATCTTCTCTATATTTACAAACATAAGGCTTTTTGAGCTTCTAAATTGAATTTAGGAAAAACTGGTTTTCTTGTTGATCAAATGCTTTTTTTGGAGCAATATGAATATTCATGTGCCTTTATTTTATTTCTGATTTGTTCCAATTCTGTTTTTCATATCTGGGATACAGCAGCTAACCTGTTGTTAATATGAGAGTAGGTTGCCTCCATGCGTACAGCTCAAAGATAAATAAAATGTTAATTTTATTTGAATTACAGTTGTTTTAAAAATATTGATTCAAAAAACATCTTGAGAGTGCCTTTGAAGTTCTGTTGTTCTATATGGAAATCTGTTAATGTTTTTCTTCACTTATAGCATATCTATGTCACAATATGTCACAATATGTTGGCTACCAGAATTAACAGCAGAACACTGAATGGACTAGACGTATTATACATATTTTGAAAAAATTACAACATTTCAGGAAGTTTTATACTTGCACAATTGTTTGTTGATACTGCAAATTTTAATCTGATAAAAAATACCCCAAAGTATGCATTAGATGTTTATTATGTTCTTGGCTCTAAATGAATAAGAAGAGTAAGAATAAGGAGAATTCTTCAGCTTATATAGTTATTGTACTATTTTGTACTTTTAAGTATTGAGAATTCTCTTTTTTAAAAATGTATTTGTATTTTGCATGGATGGTCATGAGTGTATAACTTGGAAAGGATGGTCAAAAGGGAAAAAAACAAGCAATCTGTGTTATGAAATAGGAAACACATAATGTATTAATAAACTATGTTCCTGTTTGTACACTTCAATATTGAGTGTATTTAAGAGCAGGTTTTAAAATCTATAGAATCATTAGGAGCATTAATTTACTAGGAGCTTTACTGTCATTCCATTCTGCTCCAAGGCCTTGTTCTTAATTAAGGAACTGGTTTAAATCAATTTCTGAGAGTAGTTATGGTTTATCTTTCGGAAACTTTAAGAAGTAATTACAACTAATTTTAAAAATAAAGTACGTAAGTGACAGAACAGAATGTGTAATCAGGAAATTGTTGGCTTTTGCAGATTGAATTTTAATTGTATTGCAAATAATGAGTTGGATCCATTGTTACTCTCCCACAGATGGGTGAATTTTATTCTGGGGCAGGATTTTGGTCCAGCAATGGAAGAAGAGAATATTCTAGAGATGGCCATGATCCTTGGCAATCTATTTTGAAAGGGTTAGGGGACTCTCTGGAACAGTGAGGAGGACTACGTTAAAGAGATTATATGAATGTAAAATGAAAGTGTGGATCCAACTTATTGTTAATCTTAGTACAACTTTTTAAGGTTCTGAACTTCTTTTGTTTTTTATATTATTGATAAAGTAGTACAAAAAAAAAGCTTCACCTCCTACTAGCTGATTTTTGATAAAAGCTTATTTTTCATGTGACTGAGAATGACTCAATTGAGACCTATTAATTTCTTGATGGATTGAGCTGAGAAATGTACGAGTATTTTGCTCATACACATTCCCTTTCCCCCCCCTCTTTTTCTTTTATACAGTTACTTAAATTCCCAAGGTTAATCCGGGATAGCTTCCAATTCCATTTGATCTAGTGTTTTACCATGGGACAGCACTAGTGCATGATATAGTGTGTTATCAGAGACAAACCAATCTGGATACTGTGTCTGGGAAGCCTGGATGTCTGAGCTTGGCTCCTTAAACCCAGATCAAATCTGGGCCAAGGCAGGCAAGCCCTCCAGGTGCTCAGTCCTGGAAAAAAAGTTGCATAAATACAAATGTAAATATAGCAGCTTTCCCTTTTGAACTGTAACCCTGAATGAATGGATACACAAACATGGGGAGTAAGTATGAGGACATTCTAACCCTCCTTTTGGAGATGATCACCAGAAAAATGGGAGAAGTTTGTAATTTCTGTAGCATTCCATTTCCTATTCTTTCGTCTCTGATGGTTTTCTGTTTAAGTTGTTTAAACAGTCCCTTAGTCAGCAACTTAGGGGATTGCTTTGAGAAGGGAATAGACTCCAGGTTCTCATCTCTGATCCTCTAAATTCCAGTGCTACTAATACTATTCTACAGTCCTCTCTTTC